CCAGACCATTAACTTTATTATAGAAGGATATGTTTAGTCCTTACTTGACTCCCATTTTTCTGATTTAGTCATAAATAATAATACTCCAGTGTTTATATTTTTGAAAATTTCGAAAAACTGCCCATTGAACTGTTGAGGAAAACTGAAATGAGTACATAACATTGGCACGCATATAATGGCCTATAAATATTTTCTTTTCCCCCAACCACCATTAATTCTTTCCAGTTTTCCACATGTTAATTTATTGTCTACGCATAATCCATTCATGCCAATAAATCTTACTGCTTTGCCTAAGTTACCATACCATTGTTTCATGCATTTGGGGAGTGGTTGTTAAATGATTAATTTAGTGTCATGCACTACAAGACAGGGAAAAAATGTAGTGATTCAGGTTCGAGTGTGTGAGCCAGAGCTATACCAATCTAACCCCGACTAAATCAGGCCGTTTCGGCTAAGAAAACTGAATCTTTTTACTAAATTGCTCGTAAAAAGTTACGAATTGTGACCTCTGTTCTCCGCCTGTTTTATAGTTTTCCTTCCATTTGTGTTTTTCCAGCGCTTGATTGTGTCCATCTTCAATAAATCTAAATCACGAAATCGCAAAACTTTATCTCCATTTAAGCAGATCTTTTCTAGTCTCAGTCAGCAGCGTGGTTTCTACCTGTATTTTCGCTCCTTTGAAGCTCTATTTTGCTTCGAGATTTCATTCTATATAGTCGTGAATTTAGCTTTGTTCATTTTAAGTTTATTGTCAACTAGCGGCGTGGCGTTGCCCACGTTGACCTGTAGTTACGTGCGCAATTTTTCTACAACAGTTCTGATCGATCTCAGCCGAGAGGCAAAAAATGAATAAATAAAATTTATTTCTGGCCGCAGTTAAAGGCTTGTTATAGAACATGAAGAGAAATATAGAACTCAACGAAACAAAAACTAAAAGAATTAGGAAGTTGAAATTTTGTCAGGAAGTTACTCTCCAATAAACGAAGAAACATACACAATTTCAGCCTTGCAGCTCGGTGCGATCATGGTTAAATTTGGAGTTTTTATGGACAGACAAACAGACATACATTCATTTATATATATATCAATAGAGAAGAGATATTCCTTGGTGCTTTGTGGCAAATATTCTAGTTGTACTGGAGATTTGCATCATTTTCCGCTATGATTGCACTCTCGTCGCCAAAAAACGTATCTGCAGATTTCAGGTTGTGTAACCTGAAATGTGCTACATCAAGATTTGATTTTTCATTTTCCGTTTCTTGATTATTTAGCGGTTATCAAAAAATCGTTTAAACAGCATTAACAGAGCACGATTTAAAATTTTCTGGAAAATTAACGAATGCTCTGATGGCTCTGATTTTTCGCCTAAAGCTCTGCATGAACGGCCAGGAAAATTGCACTCTGTATCTTCCATGACTTCCGAGTTTAAAAAATCATACAATTACAGAAAAACCGCTCCTCAGACCACAATTTGAAGATTTCTGGAAAGTTTATGCGTGCTTCAATTGCACTAATTTTTTACCTGAATAAAGTGCAACGGTGAGAAAAACGTCAGTTAAAAGCCTCAATTGTAGGTACAAAAAGGTTTTTTAAACAATTGCAGAAAATAGCTTTCAGAGCACGATTTGAAGATTTCTAGAAAAATTAAAGTTTGCTCAAATTGCTCTCATTTTCCACGTGAAGCTCCTCAGAAGCCTCGCACAAACTACAGGGAAAATTGCAATTGACATCTTTACTTGCTTCCAAGTTACAATTTTTTTCTTCAGACAGTTACAGAAAACCGCTCTTCAGAGCACGATTTGAAAATGTCTGGAAAATGTATGCCTGCTTCAACTGCAGACATTTTTTACCTCAATGAGCTCCAAAGCCTTACGTACACAGTCAGAAAAACTTCAGGTGAACACTTCAATTCTAGGTAAAAAAGGCTTTTTTAAACAATTGCGGAAAAAAGATTTTCAGAGCACGATTTGAAGATTTCTAGAAAAATTAACCTTTGCTCAAATTGCTCTCATTTTCCACTTGAAGCTCCTCAGAAACTTAACATAAGTTTATGTCTGTAGTTACATGGGATCCATGTAATCCATCCATGTAGGTATAAGGAAAATTGCAATTATCAATTTCTTCAATTGCTTCCGAATCACAATGTTTGAGCACAGTTTGAAGCTTTCTGGATAATTAACTCAAGCTTCGATTTCTCTCAACTTTCAACTCAAGCAACTCCCAAGCTTCGAATAATCGACGAAAAAACTTGCAATTGAAATCTTCAGTTCCTTACGAGTAACATTTTTTTCTTGGGACAATTACAGAAAACCGATCTTCAGGGCATGGTTTAAAAATTTCGGGGAAATGCGCGTTGTTGTTACCATTTTCCAGCTAGAGCTACTTTTCATCTTGGAAAAATGGTAGTTGAAATGAAGATTTTTTCCTTGCTTCCACCGATTTTTAGAGCACGATTTGAAGATTTCTAGAAAATTACCGGGTGCTCGAATTGCCCTCGTGTTTCACTTGAACCTGCTATGGGATGTTTCATTTGGTCCCAATTTTCACTGGGAGCTAGTCCCAAGCTTCACATTCACTGTGAAAAGAATCAGAATGAAAAGGTTTAATTTACTGGCAAATTACAATGTTTTTCAGCCAAGGACAAGAAACCGTCTTTTATAATAGCTAAGTCTGAAAATCCCCCAAAATAATTGAGAGCCTCAATTGGTTTGATTTTCTGCCAGGATTTCTTCTGATGCTTCACTTGCACTATGCAAAAAGGGCAGATTGCAATTGTTACTCCTTCATTGTTCATTCATGTCTTCATGTTCAAAAGTTTATTGGTATTTTCAATTTGTTTCTGCATTTTCTAGGAGTTTTTACAATGTTTCTTTCATGTTGTGTTTGACCTTCATTTCATTTCATTCACAGAAATTTTTTAATTCTTCATAATTTTGTGCACTTTCTCACGACAACTTTGCTTCCAGCTGTTTATTGTTGCGTTGCCTGATAATGTTTTTGCATATTTCTTTAGTTCAACTTCTCATCAAGCATTTCTGAAGTTGAAACACTTTGGAACATTGAACAGCTCGATTTTCCCATTTGCCTTATCGCAACACTGCACATTTTTGCTAATACTTGGCATTAAGTAAGTGCATAATTTAGCCTACACTTCGCGCTACATGCCTTATGATGAAGCCACCACCCATTTAAGCGGGTCGAGACTTAAGCCCAAGTTACTAATTGATATTGTCAATAGAAGGCATGGGCTTACTGCTTATTTAGATCTAAGAACTACTAAACCAAACCTGTTCTTTTATTAGATAACAAATAAAAACTGCTCTGCACTTGGAGGTAAATACCTTTCCCACATCAATTTGACGTTAATAGGAAGGACGCAGACAAGTTTGGACATGTTTAGATATTAATTAAAACTAGAAGCGTTACAGAACGGCCCATTGTTAAGGTGGAGCTTAAAATGGGCTATTTTATGTGCTTATGTTTGAGGATTGAAATTTTTAACTAACGCACATTAAGGTGAACGTACCGATGGTATTCGTCAACTTTGTGAACTGGTTTAGTTTTGTTGGTTGGATTTTTTCACTGCTGAAATTTGTATTATTTCGACTTACGTATTTTGGAAGCAAGATTAATTAATGTTCTTAAAAAAAACCTGGCTTTAACTGATCGAAAATCGAAAATGTTTCGGTGGCATTTTGGTGAAATAGAAACCCATTAATTGCCCAGGTAAAACTAGTCTATTGTTATTTCTTCGTCAATTTCAACGTTAATGAGGAAATGCAATCAATTTCAACCACATTTTTTGAACAGTGCTCACTTTAGTTGATAAATCGGCCAACGACCATAGAATGAAGTAATTTTCGTAAATAATTGACAAAGTGTGGGGACAAAACAGCGGAACGATTTATCAGTTCATGTAGAGATCATGATTAAGCAATGTGGGTTGTAAATTTCAATAAAACTATTTGTAATGGTGCTGTAGTGATTTTTCAACATTCAGAAAAGTATGTTAATATATTCGTTTTGCTAGGTTCTGGCCACGTCACCACAAGCGCTATGTTTTAAACCACTTTTATATTCAGAACCACGTCTAACAATCATTATTTTCATGGGAAAGGTCATACATTCTCGAGACAAAATCTTTACGACATGATGAGTCACAAACTGTTTTCTAAGAGTACTATTTGTTTACTTTTATCTTTACACGGTGGTATCTGGCCAGCCGTGAACAGAAGACGAAGAGCGATTTACATAATTTTGCATTTCCCGGGACAAACAAAAAATGTTCAACTGGGTAAAAACACACAAATATTTTAAACTTTGAACACGTAAACGAGTGCAGCCCTTCAAGGGTCTTCAGTCTATTGTCTTTGCCAGTTGCACCTACAGAAATGTTAAATAATTAATTCCATGGATCAATCAAAGAAAATCTTTATACACATACCAGCACTTAGCATACAAGTGAGTGAAACTCTCATGTAAAATTAACATTTATTGTAGTGAAGAATATTAATCAATCCGATCAATCACGTGCGATGTAAACTGGCTTAGATATATTACGCCATTTAGGTACCATTCTCACCTCAAATAAGTGTTACGAACAGTTATATAAAATCTACAGGTATAACGACGCGATGCTTGCTTATAGTTATTTCAATGCGAATTTTTCTGCCATTGTAATTTTCAATTTATTATCGCGGTGATTTATGGGAAAATTTGCCATTCTCAGAAATTCCTTGTTTACACCAATCCGATGTTTCACTGTATTAAACCGAATCGGACCGTATGCCATTGGCATTAATTTCCGCAAGAGCGCAATATCTAATTACAGTTAAAGACATGCATGCCTGGCAAATTATAAAGTTCAACGATTTTTGTGGAAATCGAATGGAACGGACGGGTTGATGGTCTCAGGTTCATTACCGCGACATTCGCTTTATCTGTGTATAATCTAATTTAATCTAGCTGGTTGTTCTCAAACGAAAAAAAAACGTCAAAAATCCAGTTTTAAAATCATTATAATTAAAACAGTTACATCAACGCGGCTATGTAAATATTGGACGATTATTTATGGAATGCCAATAACGTTGGTCACAGTCTTGACCGCTACGTTCAAATTTAAATTAAATCTTTCAGGCAATGGATTATTGGCAATATTTAACAATCCGTTGTCTAATCTGGTTTGCATTGCTCCAACACTTTTCAGCTGCTTCTACTTGATTTGCGATCTACTTGCTCGCAAAGTTGAGAAGGTACAGAACTCGATTTTTGTATATTGAATGACAAAGTTAAAAAATTTAAACCTGCAAAAGTTGCCAGGGTATAAAATGGAAACTTTGCCAGTTGCTTGACCAAGACCTAGTCTATACATGTGCAAATTTTCAGTCAAATCGCACAGTCTATTATGTTTCTAGGACGTTCCAAACTTGACATTAAAAAGTATTGCAAAGCCCCATTTTGCCGATGTGCCTCTAAAAAATTCGCGCTTGCAAAGTTCTTGAGATAAACAAGCGAAACTTTAAGTCTGGATTAACCAGCTATTTGTCTGCAAATCAGAAAGTTCTCAATCAAATCGCAAGTCCCGTTGTTTCCCAAGAATATTCTAAAACTGACGTTTAAAACTCATGCGGAACGCCAATTTGCCACCGCGTGTCTAAAACGTCTTACCTTGCAAAGTCGATGAGTAGTTAAAAATGCCAAACTTTGCGGGTTGATTAACCAGATGCCTTTCTAAAAACCTAGAAGTTTTCGATCAAATTGCAAGTACCATTGATTCTCCAGAATTTTCCAAACATAATGCTAAAAACTGATGCAAAACCCCAATTTGCCACCGCGCTAAAAAAATTCCACCTGACAAAATCGATGAGACTAAAAGCGATACTTTACTAGTTGATTGACCAAATGCTTTGCTGCAAACTTGGGAATTTCCGATCAAATCGCAAGTCCCATTGATCCTCTAGAATATTCGAAACTTGACGTTAAAAACTCAGGTGGAACGCCAATTTGCCACCGCGTTTCCAAAAAGTTCTACCTTGAAAACCCTATGAGATTGAAAAACGAAATTTTACGAGTTGATTAATCAGATACTGGTCTGCAAACCTGGAAGTTTTCAATCAATGGCACTCTCCGTTGATTCTCCAGAAAATTCGAAATTCGATGTTAAAAAGTCATCCAAAACGCCGATTTACAGCCGCGTGGAAAAAGTCTCACTCCTAAAGTCGAGCAGATAGAACAGCCAAATTTTTTGAGTTGATTGATGTGATACTTGCCCACAAACCGAAAAAGTTTCAATCAAATCGCGGATCGCTTTGATTCTCTAGAATATTCCAAACATTCGTCAATTTTCCACTAGTTATGCGATTCAATCAATTGTGCCGCCGCGATTCTCAAACCATCATCAATAAAAAAATTGGGCAAATATGCAATTGAGATTTTAGTCATTCATTGACATAATCCTACTCTAAAATTTTTGAAAATTTCAATTCACTCAAGCGGCCCATTGATTTTCTGTAGCGTTCCAAACCCGGCAATAAAAATGTGCAACTCCACCTTGCCGCTTGACGTCTAAAAATTCCTAACTCCGAAATTTCAGAAGACATCGAACTGAAACTTTAGCAGTGGATCCGTGTTTAAGTACGGAAAATTTCACTCAAATCGAGCATCGCATTGATTTTCAAGTACTCATTCACTTCAAACGAAACCATTAATTTTTCAAGTCAAAGCTGTTTTTGAGAATGATTATGATTTGGACGGTGGCTACCGTTTAACCAAGACAGTAAGTACTGGGCCTTAAAGTAGCTGAGTATTTGCGAACCTTAAATTTGCACCTTCCTCTAGAAAATTATACAGTAAACTGGTGCTAAGCAGTGATTATTTTCTGCAACTACCTGCATTATCGGAAGCTAATTGACATAAATTTTATACTTTTTTTATTGTTGCTTGGCCGCTATTAGCATAATTATAATAGTTATAATCTCGAGGGAAATAAAACAGCGAAATGATCAGTTAGTTGAAACAAATCCATATTTATTACCATGCACAAGCCGAAGACTCTGCTAAATAATTACCGGATGGTGTAAAATCATGACGATATGAAAATAAGTGATAGAGTCATCAACCAGTTCGTGCGCAGTGAAAAACCTCAAATATTCAGTTATTTGCAAACAAACTGTGAAAAACATGTTAATTGCTACCGGCTTGCTTAATGTAAAGAAACTGAAAAAAAAACATATAAGATTGCGTGGAAAAATCGACTGCAATGGTTTCATAAAGAGTGTTGCACTATGTACAGCAATTATTTTAACCAGAACTAAGGCAGATTGACGTGAATAAAATGCAATGAATTATCGCGAATTTCGTGCAATCTAGACCTGCGGCTTGGTAATATCTTAATTAATAATTAGCAATTGAAATAATTATCCAGAATTGAAGTAGAGTAGGAAAATGAGGTGGTCGGTTTACCCAAAAGGCCTCGAAAGTGTGTCGGGCCATAGGCGTGCCTGATTGTTCACTTTGTCGACCTTTCATTTAAATTAATTAATTTGCAATAGTAAAATTAGGTTACACTGATTGTCTCTAATGGGAGTTGCCCATTTTCAGATGAATGCTTGGCACATTTTTCCAACCATTTGGAGCCAAGGAATTGTGGTCGAAACTTGCCCAGTCCAGACAATAACATAAACGACTACTAATGAAACAACAACTAGATTTATGCCTCATTAGAAAACAATCATAGTCGTGATTACCTAATTAATGGCACTTAGAATGGAAAGACAAGGTTAGAATCTTAGGTGCCAATGATCCGATTCCACAGTTAACTAGTCAGCTGCTGCTATTGGTAATTAGCGAGAAATTTTACCGGAAACGTTATACCGCTGATACAATGAGTCGATTTAGGTGAAGTAATTCAGCATATGTTTGGTAGGATGTTGGATTCACCTGAGTGGCGCTCATTTATTTTCTGAGACGCAAGATGGGTATTTGACTCATTTTTCTTTTCAAACATTATTGTACCGAAGCCCCGGGGCACGCCACTGTTTTAAATCGATTGTTGGTGTTAGTGCGAGGCCATTTGGGAGAATTCAACGATTTATCCAGGCATTTAATGGCTGTAGCAATAATAACATCTGCCGTGTATTCACACCTACGGTATCTGGTCGTAAAATGGTTTAAGGAGGAACTAGTTGACGAAAAACCATAAAATCTCGAAAAAAGGACTAAAATTAGGGGCCTGGCCTAAGCAAATAAACGACTATCAAATGAGAAATATCTAACCGGAATGGTATTAATTATGGCTTATTTTCGTGAAATTGTCACCGACAAAGAATGCGTATATTTGCGAAACCGCAAATATTCACATACCCACATTTAAACTTAATCCTGCCAGTGGTTTCTCAAAAATATTTTTTTTAGAAGTAAGAAATGAAACTGATGCTTTTTTGCAAAGTTTTCCCGTATTTTTTCCGGATTTTAATTGCCCAATCTTGATAAGGCCTGATATTGAGTTGACTTTCATGTTTTCTCTTCTAGCAACTTCTTCCTGAGAATTTGTTTTCAACAGCTTCTACTTCTTTTTGTCCGGGTTTTCTTGGGTATTTTCTTTGTCATTACGGTTTTTTATTGCTATCTTAGTCTAATCGCCCGGTCATTTATGGTTATTTAACGGCGGGTAAATTTAGTTGCGAAAGTCATTGCAACTCCAACTTTGAAAAATTCTCCAAATTCAACCCAAGCTTCTAAAGAAGCGAAACTCTGCTCAACTGTAGAGTTGTGTTGGCTCTACTGTCATCCGCAAAAACATTTTTTTATCTCTACGCATTTGGACGTAATGAATTTTTGAAGACCGACGCGTTAATTTAGACGCCAAAGTCATTGCAAGACTCATTTTGAGTAATTCTCAAAATTCAGGTCATACCTCTAAGAAACGTAAACTTTGCGGAATTATAGAGCGATGGGTACTCTATTTAATGCCCGAAACAGCGCGTTTCAAGTTCAACTGCTTTGGGAGTAATTAATTTTTGAAGATCGACGCGTTAATTTAGACGCCAAAGTCATTACAAGACTCATTTTGAGTAATTCTCAAAATTCAGGTCATACCTCTAAGAAACGTAAACATTGCGGAACTTGCGGAAAGACAAAACTTGCGGAAAGACACGACGCTTTACAGAATTATGAAGTGAGGCTTGGCTTAATTATTCTCCTAAATGACGCCTTCCAGTCTCAACTGGTTTGCTCGGAATCATTTTTTGAACATCGACGAATACATTTTTTCATCAAAATTGATAGCAAACCTCATTTGCAAATTTCCCAAAATTCAACTTCAAAAAACAAAAACAATGAGAGATCATAGAACGATAGTTGGGCTATCTACGGCTGTACAAAGCTCTTTTCCACATTAATTAGTTCGGTCGTAATGGTGTTTTTACCACCCGCGTTTTAACTCATGAAGAAGTAATTGCAAGTTCCATTTTGAATAATTCTCAAAATTCAACCAAACCCTAAAAGAAAATCAAACTTTGAGAAAACATTGAAGAAAACTTCCTCTAAATTTGGCCATTCACGTGACTCCTACATCTCTATTGGTTTCGTCGTACTGAATTTTTTAACAAGGGCAGGTAAATCTAGTCGCACTAGTCATGGCAAACCTCAATTTGAAAAACTCTCAAAATGCAGCCACAGTCGCCACGAGAATTAGCTTTTGAGGACCCATAGAATGAGGTTTACTCTATTTTCAGGCCAAAAAAGCGCACTCCATTTTTTTTTAACTGGAACGAACAGTTTAAGATGAGTTTCAGGTTGCGTAAAAAATCAGAATCACTCTGAAAATTTGCAAATTTACAAAAAATCCTCAACATTTCGACACGTTTTGCATGGTTTCGATGGCCAAAAGGTTGGAACAAATTCGACAAATGACAAAACCGTTTTGTTTAGACATTAGCTTTGTAGGCTTTTTGCAGCGCAAAGAAGTGCTGCGTATTTCGGGTCAGTTGAGAGTCCTTGAGGCATGAAAAACTTGACCTTTTGGGCAAAAGCATGGGTAACCTGCGTTAAATACCTGTAAGGTTCATTTGCTAAAAGATTAGGCAACAATGAGAAAATGAATTACTAGTAAATAATGAACTATTCTAATCTTTATATAACGTGCTCTGTCGAGTGTGAAATAACGTTCGCAGGAAGGCAAGTTGTTGCGGTTTATCCTGGTCGTTTTGCTATGGCCATTTCTCGATAGGTTTAATGCCATCTAATTAACCCCATGGGATGTGAGTTTTTCACGTGTGCAGATAAAATCTCCAAAAGCTCCAAGTTAATTAACGTGGTGGGGCCTTGCCATCAACGTTTGCGCGTTTTGAAAAAAACCCATACAATATTCACGCCTGTGCGTCTCCCACATAGTGATTCGTCAAAAGGACTATTTGAGTATGATGATTGTTCGTTTGAAGAACCAGAACAATATCGGCACTTTATACCAGCAGGCCCAACCTTTTCGAGTATAGTATATGCCAACATTCTGGGCTTAAACAAAAGAAATAATCGACATTGATCGAAACGTGAAGTCATCACCTTCTTATAGCATCTTCTAGTGCCAATCTAGTGCCTGACCTGGGCTCGAAGAAGCCTATAACCGGTTATGCGGGAGACCAACAACCAACCAACAACACTGGGTCGAAGCAGCAACAGCAAAATGGCCTGCGGTCACCAAAAAATGGCCAGCAGAGATATTCAATGCCTGATAGGAAAAATAAATTGCCATAGTTTATGATCTAGGAATTAATGTTTACCGAGAACGCTTCAAACTCGAATTCTACCGGCCGCAAAAATTTACAAATGGAATCTTAAGGATGATGCCACAACCGGCTTTGATAAGGTTTAGCTGGATTAGTTTCACTTATTTAATTGAAATTAAACCTGTTTTTGCTCGATGCGTGATTTAGATTAGAGCTGACTATCGAACACGAGTTGCCCACCAAGGATTTGTCTCAGTC